TTAAGTGAGAGAACTTGCACAATTGGTGGCTGACTAAATACTTTTTTGCCCCACTGTATGTCAAACACTGAACTGACATTTTAACTGGGCAATCCCATATGACCCCAAGCATTTTTTCCTGATTAGTTACAGGCAGCTCAAACTCAAACTCCATCAACTGCATTTGCTTGACCATTTGCCCAATTTAAAGTAACCCCTTTGGAACTCTTTGTCTCAAATTTAATTACTAACATTTTGGCTTGATAGCCTCAAAGCAGATAAAGAAACTGTAGAGTGGAGAATTTTGGAAACCCGATTCTGGGGGGTTGTGCAGAACAGATAGTACAACATGTCTTTGAAGTCCACGTTCAAGTTAATAGTAATTATAGTACTGTGGGAAGGTGGTGGTTATAGTCTCCTCAAAGAACAAACAGAAGGACTTCAGGCTTTTCACACTTTTGTAGAAACCACAGATGTGTTTGAAAAGGAAAGCCTTCATTGCCGTTAATTCTGCACTGGGCAAATACAAGGCAGAAATAGAAGCATGAGCCACAAAATGGAACTGTGAATCGTTTCCTTTGATGTTCTATTTGAAGATGACTTGAGAGACATGTTGACAGAAATTGCTAAACATGCAAATGCAGAATCTGTAACATATAATATTAAAAGGAAAAAAATATATTCAGCATTGTCTGCCCCTTAAAAAAAAATCCTCAGTATTTTCTTTACCTATGCATATTACTCTGGCTCAGTCTACACCTGCTCAAATTATCCCATCATATGGGCACTTCTCACTTGCTCACTGTCACTCATGCCTTCATGACCTCCTGTCTGGACTACTGCAATGTGCTCTACATGGGATTGCCCTTGAAGAGCATTTAGAAATTTCAACTGGTGCAAAATGCAGCAGCACAGATAGTAAATGGTGTTGGTTACTTGGCACATGTAACACCACTACTCTGTGAGCTGTATTGGTTGCCAGTGTGTTTCAGGGTGCAAGGTGCTGGTAGATACCTTTAAAGCCCTTCATGGCTTGTGGCCAGGTTACCTGAGGGACCATTCTCCCCAGTTGTTTCTACCCATCTGATCCGGTCAGGCAGGATGGGCATGCTCCAGGTCCTGTTGGCCAGGGAATGCCAGCTGTCGTAGCACCCGCCCTATGGAATATTCTCCCTCCAGAGATTAGGATGGCCCTGACCCTGCTGATCTTTCACAAGGCACTGAAGACCTCGTTCTGTGCTCAGGCCTGGGGCCCTGAGGGTGTGTAGGGTCCCATCTCCTGGTTGTGTTAACAACCATTAATAGTGATATTTCCTTGGGTGCTGTGTTATTTTAATTTTTGTATCTGATAAGAATTTTTTAATTTAAGATTGTTTACTCCCCACAGTCACTCACTGAGATGGGCAGCCATACAAATCAAATCAACAAATAAATATTTAAAAAGCAGATTTGTAAGGAAACTGTTTTTCATGGATGAACAAGTAAGAGACCTTTGCAATCCTGTGGTTAGATGTCATTAATAAAAACTCCAAGAATCTTAATGCCAGCATCATGATTCTGCGTTGTCTTATCTTGTTGCTGGGAGTCAGGCAGCACATAAACTTAACAAATTATTATTTCTCCTGACATTTATGCTTCCCCCCCCCCCCCCCCCAGAAAAAGGCTAGCTGGATTCAGTAGGATGATGTGATCACCCACTGGTTGGGAACTTGTGACACACTAGAGATTGAACTGGAATTTCTAATAGCTTCAAGTCAGCATGGCCAGTGGTGAACCATGCTGGAAATTATCATTTGGCAACATCTGGTAGATTACAGTCACTATCCTTCCAGTAACTAGCTTCCCTTTAATATAGTCTTATCCCTCACTGTTAAGACAGTATCACTTGTGATTCCAGTTTTTATGTATATTGATTTGTAGCTGTTTAGTACTTATATTCACAAATGCACATACATCCACATGTCTTGTGCTATGTACTTGTGCATTAATAGAAAGGTATGAAAGGGAGTGCATGAGACCTGCTCAAAGCAGGCCAATAAGAAGAAAGGTTTTCTCATGGAAAATTTCAGCTTATGGAGCAAGTGGGAAAGTACCAGGACAAAGATTTCTAAGACCCAAGACATGACTCTCAAAACATAAAGTGTTTCTCAGGATGAGATGGTTCCTGTGTGGTCTGTTTGAGATAACACACAAATTGAAAAGTGCCAGGAGGTGTGAGAAAGGCATCAAACTGGAACTGGCCAAACCTAGCCAGAATAATAAAAGTTGATGGGAACTGTACTGCTTTGGAGTCTTCATACAGAATGAGGTCCTTCTGGAACTCTAACTTGGCTAGCCATACTTTGAGTTAGCACATATGTATGGATGTGTGAAATGTGTGAATGATAAAGCTTTTGGTTGAGAAAATAAAACAATAAGTTATAAATCTTGCATTTTTCTAATATCCCCACCGGGGGGGGGGGGAGAAAAAACAAGCAGTGGTACTAGAAGTGTCATAAAAACCCTCTTTATGCCAGTGTGACATAGTTACAACTGAGAGCTCTTCCCTACCCTCCTGTCCCTGTTAACAAACTGATCAGGCAGGCTCTGAATATGGCTGATGAGTCCAACCTACTTGCATCTTTCTCTCATTCGATCCTCTCCAGATATCTTGGGCCGACAAGTACCAAAGTTCCATGATAACTTAGTCAAGCAGTTTTGAAAAAGTGATTGATGGTAGGCTCAACATATACTTGCAACACACATTTATAATGCTCCTGCTCTTCAGCTGGATGAATCCTTTTAAAAAGGTATTCATTACTTGGATCACAACATTTTGCTTCCCAAACAGAACAACCTGTAGAGGAGATGTACTTAGAGAAATTAATCCAACTATAGTGAAGGGTGGAATTACATGAAATTTTATTAAATGCTTCATCTGATCATCTTCCTAAGCCTGTAAGTTTGAGACAGCATGCTTATATAAATGTTTCATTTTCAGCTGGTGTAGACTATCTAGCTTGTAGCATAAGCAGACACACATTAAGAACAATTTTTGTATGTGAGTCAGACTGCAGTAAAAGTTTTAATTTTGACTTTCTGCCTTTTTTACTGCTAAATGTATTTTCCCTTACATACAAACTTGACTTGCGGGAAGAAGTATAATGATGATACATTAGTTGTACAAGAAATACAATCCATTAACTCCTTGATTTCTATAAATATGTAGAAATACAAGAGAGTTTATAGTATTTTTGAATACAAAGTGAAATTCTTGAGGAAGCTAACACTGTCTCCCAAGCCACTCTATTGCCACACCCATCATTCTGTAGTTAAGTAGGCCTGATTGGCTATATGATGGTATCTGAAGAAGTTGTACATAGTGGCTTTCACATAAATGCACATGCAGTGATCAGAATACATTCATAGTTCATGCACACCAATTAATGCCACTTCCTCTATTTTCTGTGCATATGCAACATGAAGCAATGGAGGAATCCCCTCTCTCCAAAACACATTTGAAGGTAAGATACTTGGGAAGGTACACATGGAGAATATGTGTAGACAAGTTGTGAAGAATCCATTATTTTGACAGATGCATTCTGCCAAGGGAACAGCAGTACTGAACACAATTGTAATGTGGAACAACATATATCTGTTATATACGGTCTCCACCTTTGACTTCAAAAGTGTCCATTACAAAGAGGTGTTCTTTCATAATCTTCTAATACCACAAGTTCAGGTAAAATACTTCAGTTACATCTATACCAAATAAATATTTTAAAATGCACACTTCTAGACAGTGCTTCAGATGGTGCACTAAGTTAGAATCTGTATTTTTATATAAAGCATTTATTAAAAATAAGTTCATAAAAAAAGGATTGAGATATCTGTACAGTAGTTGAGCACAAAAGACATTTTTTTTGTAAAATAAACATATTAAAGTGCATATTTACAAGACTTCAACTGGAATACGATCATGAATCTGCGAGGTGTAAGTCACTAATGGCCGCTATTGTACAAATTCCATTGGCTGAGTGGGTTTCTGATAAAATACGCTGAAATAGCATTTGGTAAATTACTTATTAAACATTTTATATACCTGTATTGTGTTCTCTGAATTTCTGTATTATAAAATTTAAATGGTGAATCAGAATGAGAGTCTGACTTGCTATCAGGATTAAACAATGCAAAACAAACAAAAAGCAGTAATGATAAGCATAGATAAAATGCCTGAACACGTATCTGAAACCAATGCATCTGCAAAACATAGCAGTTTTCTATATGCGATTATGGGAGAGGTTCCTTAGATACAATCGGAGGGATACTCTGCATCAGGTTTGGTTCTATATCTGTGCTGAAGGACTGGAGAAAGCAACATTTTCTTCCTCCAAGAAAATAGAACTGGGGCTGCAATTTATTTACATCTTTGTAAAGACAGGTATTTCCATTTGACTAACATTTTTTATGAAATCCTTCCCCGCTCCCCCAAAAAGTTCTTAGTAGCAATTTTTAGAAAATATGCATGGAAACAATATCCTGTTGTATTTAGGAACTGTTGAAGATTCCCAGCAAGTTTTAAAAAATCCTTAATACATTAATATTAAGTTAACATTTAAGTATTTTTCTTCCAAACTGTGCACTTAGAAAGCAGAATGAACCTTGTGAGGCTTTGGCTTCAGTTCCATAAAAAAAAAAGTTGCATGAACATCTCTCCATTTTCTTTTAATTCTTTTAATTTCTGGAAGGACTAGCATATTTAGTCAATTTGTGCAGTGATTTGCTGTACGGAAACATTTCAGACTTCTGACTTTCCAATGTGCTATGCGCACAATAATACTGAAGTACCTGAATCAGCTGTATTAATGTCCTTGTTTCAGACCCCATTTGTTGCAGAGTATGGATCCTGAAGTATCAGATATTAACTGCCTGATTAGAGATAACACTTCTATAGTTCAGCCTTCAATCCCAGAGTTTAATGAGACCATCCCATCCACAAGTGATCACTTTGGATGTTTCATGTGGGTGCCACACTGCACCAATGCAAACTTTGTCATGGGCTTTTAATCTACTATAGAGTTTTGTTGTCTTCCAGTCCCAGATATTTAACTTTCCATCTGCATCACCTGAGATCACATAGCTGTTTCAAAAAAGGGGAAAAAAATACACTGAAGTCAATTAATTTTTTTTTTTAAACATAACCATTTCAAAACAATAAAATACATTTTAACATGGAGAACAGATAGACCTTTCCTGTTGTTTTACATAGTCTATTGTAGTTTTCTACTACACTTAGCTGTCTTGGAGATGATGTACATAAAATTCCCAATATATTTGTTAAGACGGGGAAACCTGACAAAGCAGCTGCTCCAAAGATGTAGGACACTTCATCTGAAGTCTTCTCTAATGAGAAAGGCAGGATAGTCACCTAATCCCTAATGTCAGATGTTCTGTTTTGGCAAAAACTAACATAACAAAGCTGTCTATTCAGCTCTGTATGGACACTTTAAACTCATATTGGAAACCACGTGCAATTCTCATTGTGGGATGTGGCTGTGACAAATGAAGTAAAAAATTATATTTGTAATCTAGACATATGTTTATAATTTTATATTTTATCTGTGTTTTTATTCTACTGAACTGCGATGTGAATGTGCCATACAATAAATAAATAAATCTGATTGTGGGATGCAAAATCCCACCTACATAAGACTAAGATTGTCACCTGATGCTCACTTTTACTTCTAAGCAAAAAAACCAGGCAGCTTGGATTTTTAACTGTTTCTGACACCTCTGAGTAAATGCACACAGGCTGGGATTTTGTCTGACACTTGGGCTTTCAATTACTGCTTGAAATGCATTCTTGGTGTGGAATAACAAAACAGCTCTGTGCCTCAGGGCTCAACTCTTTCCCTGCTCCTATTTAACATAATGCCGCTGAGTAAGGTCATTCTTCAGTATGGGTTGGTGCATCATCGCATGCTGATGATACTCCATTATACATCTTTGCCCCAAACTGTCCCAAGTGATGCCGTTAAGGTCTTTCTAAATGCCTGGAGACTGAGGGACTGGATGGGGAAGAACAGGCTTCAACTCAACCCAAGAAAGACTGAGTGGTTGTAGATTTTGGGCTGTCCTGGATTTCCATCATTAATTCTTGATTGTCCTCCAGACAATGATGATATGCATATGGAGCAGGTGGCAGCCATGGCCAGAAGGTCTCTGCACAAATCCATCTTGTGTGCCAGTTGTGCCCATTCCTGGATTGAGAGTCTCTGCCGCCAACCATTCTTGCCTTAGTTACTTCCCACTTGGATTACTGCAATGGGGTCTACATGGGGCTGCCCTTGAAAAGCATCTAGAAGCTGCAACTGATCCAGAATGCTGCAGGGCATCCACTTTTGGGCACACTGCACAATGCCCATTTAACACCACTGCTATGAGAGCTACACTGGCTTTCAGTTGGCCTCTGGGTGCAATTCAAGGTACTGGTTGTCACCTTAAAAAGCCTACATGGCACAGGGCCAGCTTATTTGTGGGCCTGCCTGTCTACGATTGTCTCCGCACACCCCACCAGAGCTGATAGGCTAGGTATGCTCCAGGTTCTGTCTATTAGGCAGTGCCATCTTGTGTGGCCTAGGAGTCATGCCTTCCCTGTTGTAGCACCTGCTCTATGGAACAGCTCCCTCCTGAGACTTGGATGCCGCAACCCTGCTGGCGTTCTGGAAGGCTGTGAATATCGGGCTTTTCCCTCAGCTGCTGGGACTGGGATGTTAGCAGAATCCAGTATGGATGTTATTATTGTCAAGTGGTTGGGAGATGCCTCAATCATTTTTAAACTGGTGGTGTTTCATGGTTTTTAAAAAAAATCTGTATCTTTTGTTCACTGCCCAGAGTTATTTGTTAAGATGGACGGCTGAATAAATTGACTAAATAAATACATACATAAATACCTGCATCTATTCCCTTGTATTTCCCATAGTCAATTCAGATGGATACTTTGCCCACCACAGGAATGTTTCACAATTTGAAATTAGCCCCTGGGTCAAAAAAGGTTCCCCAAATTCTGTAGGATATCCATATAATATACAGGGTTTGGGAAGCTGTTGTAGCCCAAAGACCAAATCTCAAGTACACTAATCAGGGTATATGTGGTAGTTCAATGATGTGGATTATATTCTGATCAGCTGCTGTCTTAAGGACTTCTACATACAGTAAACATTTGAAAATTATATGCCAGGTTTACATAAATATATATTGCTACCTTGTCAGGCAAAGCTTGAAAATAAAAACGAAAGTGATAATAATCCTTATTAAGTATAGAAACTAGTATACATACCTCATATCAGGTGAAAAATCTACCTGGCAAGCATAGCCTGCCACCATATGACCTTTGAAGATTTTCTTTTTGTTTAGCCTGAATCTGTTTTGAGCTCCAAAAATCAAAATCTGATTGTCCATTGACTGACAGGCAAGCCATTTTCCTGTTAAGGTAAAATAATAATGCATATGTGAATCTCCACCCTCTCATGGATTTTAAGAATCAAAGATTCCTACAACATATAAAAAAGTAAGCTACAGGTATTATAGAAATTGTCTGCAGAGAGCAAAAGATTGCAATTTTACCAGCTTGATCCGACATAACATTTACTAGGATTTCTGGCATTACTGGTTTAATATTTATCATAATAGCAAGAATTCAAGTTGCAAATTGACATCCAAAGGAGATAGGCACCATACAACAAAGGTGGATAACTTGAAATACAATGAAAAAGTCAACACTGAGATAAGGAAAATAGCTGACAGAGCAGAAAACCTACAAGGGAAATATGCATTGGAAGAAAAGAAGTTTGATAATGAGTGCAGGATTAGCAGCATTTTAAGTACGGCATCAGGAAAGCTAGTTTCTGTTCTGCCTCAAAATCAAAAATATGTATTTTTTTTGCTTTGTCAGTTAGATATTATTATCCTCTGCAACATTTACACACTCCAAAACCCAAATAAAGCATTACTAAAATCTGTGATGTTAAACGAAAAATACCTACTATGTCTGCACCTTATAAAATTAAAATATTCTATCCAAGAGGCAAATGTAAGCTTACCATTTGGAGATAAAGTCACTGCTGGCATTGAGTGCATACTTGGCTCTGCTATGTACTTAAAATCTACTGGAATGTCCCTGCAAAAGTAAAATATATGGATGAAGGCTACTGCAAATAAAATGTTCTTATATGAAAGGGGAGATGATAGGTTACAGCATTCTGATATGAATCTATAGTTCTGAAGAACAATATATAGATCACCATCTCACTAAATCTGACACCATTATTAGCATTCGCTGCCTTCCATGTCTGGGTTCCAATCTACAAATAATTTTTTGTCTAATATCTCCAATGGATTATTTAGTGCCCCTTAGCTAGGAAATGATATGGGGGTCATCCCAAAACAAAACAAAACAATAGTTGAGTGACTTCCCGTTAAGTCAAAGCCATGTGTGAATTAAAATAATGAAATCTTTAATCCTTGCTATTCAGCACCTTTCAGGACTGCTAGAATGTTGAAGAGGCTGAGCCCTAAAGGGTCTCTGTTAAAAACAAAACAAATTGGCTACCTAAAGTCTCCAGAAATGTATAATTTCCTAGCAGGGCAGATAAAGGGGTGATGTTATACAGAAAGGTTTGGAGAGAAGAATATATAGTTCCCCTTAGGTTTGGGTCTGGTGATGAGGGATGAAGGATGACATTAAGTCCTAAAGCTGGATTTCTAAAGGTTAAACACTCATAACTCTCTTGTATGTGCTGGGTAAATGTAGCAATCCTTGAGCTCATGAATTCTTACTACTCTCTTTTTACTATGAGTAGAAGACAATGTTTGAACCAGTAGGAGTTTCAAACATTAGGAGCATACAGATCTCTATTACTCTAGATACAGGTTAAGCACCAAGAGTAAGGAAGAATCTTTGTTCACACAGCCTAATTCTGCATATGGAGATGAGACCACTTCTTAAAAGCATTTAACAAATAACTAATTAAAACACACACACACACATCATATACGCATATACAGATGCACATATATATACATGTATATGTGTGTGTTTATACACGCACAGACATGCACAGAAATAGAGATTTGTCCAAACTACCTACATTCAACATTCTTTTATATTGCGGTTATCTTAACAAGGACTAGAATCTTAAATATGGATTGACCCCCCCCTTCAAAAGATGATTTACAGTACTTCTGCAGTTGATATAAGAATTTTGTTTCTTTTTGTAACTCTGCTTGTGGCATCTAGAATTGTTTTATTTTGGTTAACTAAATGTTCTCTGGAAACTCTGGAGAGTTGCTATAACCAACACTGATCTCACAATGAAGATTAACAAATGCAATATTCATTACACAGCTACATTAACCTTCATAATATTTTCATGCAACACATTAACAACAAATTATTTGAAATGTATATGCTCTCTGAAAGGTTAACTGCTATTTAATTTTGTCACAGAACCATGATTGTATAAATTAAACCAAATTCTGTAGCTTACAGTACAATCAGAAAAGCTCTTGCATTTTTAAAAAGCCAAATAGGTTGATATGTAACAGAAAAATCAATTTCTTTATTATAGCCAAAAAATAAAAAGTTTGATTTGACTGCCAGCTTTTATACAGCACATACTTAAAAAAAAAAAATCCAACCCATGTTAGAAAAGGCAGGCATTATTTTCTTTTATGGATTGTATCAACTGAACCCAGATAATCTGCATCAACTTGATACTTGGATAGCCAAGGGAGCACCAAGCATTTTCCTATTCTGAACTCTCTTTCAAAACCATTTTATTTATTTGATTTATATCTGGCCTTTTGTTCAGGAACTCGAGGTGGTGACTATGTAATGAAAACTTCCCTGCCACTGCAGTGTATTTATTCTTTACATATTTCTTATATTACTGGAACAGCTTACACCTTAAAGAGAGGCTGGGGCTTTTAAGTATCGTTAAGTGGTACTGATGAACCAGCAGGTGGTGCTCTTTCATTAAAGTCAACAGCCAATTAAGGACCAAATCAATTATTGTTCTGCAATGGCTCTAAAACTTTTCCCTCTCAAAACCCAATCACCAATAATTTGTCTTGATTCATCTTCTTCTTTTCACTTGAAGTTGAGGCTCTTTGTTGACTGAACCGCCATTTGGAAATCTCAGACTCAAGAAACATGAAAATAATATCTTCTTTGCAGTCATTTTCCACCACTTTCTTTTGCATGATCGTTTTTTCACTTTCAGTAAATAGCAGTCTCACTAGTTTCATTTTAGCACCAAATAGGCATACAAGCTCACCAAAAATCAAGAATCAGATTTTGAGACCTGATATGGACTCAGTTAATACCTCTGTCTTCAGATCTGAGTCAGAGTTAAGAGAAGAAAGATCGCAATCCTGCAGGCATTCAACTCTGAAGGTCAAACTCACTGGATCATTTCCCTCAATAAATAAATGAATAAGTATAATGTTTTTGACTCATTTAATTGGGTTCTCTTTCTGTTTTAGGACTTGTATGGAGAACAGACAGGTTTTAGGTCATATTTATGTAGAAACATTGAAAAATCAAAAGGGTTCCCAAACTTTTAAGCACCTCTATAAATACAATGGTCTGGGATTGTGA